ATTTTACCTGATGTTCTATAAAATGTAAAATTGGAAGAAAAACATTTCTTTTCTTCCTTTTGATGTTTGCAGATTGTTTAAAAACAACAAAAAAAATGACGTTTGGTCGACGAATCTTTTCTTCTACTTCTACACTTTGAATTTTTTCCAACATATTACCTATGTCAACATCTACTACTTTCGAATTTTTTTTTATTACATGTGATTTCAATAAAATAAGGGGCGAGTAGATAGTCGAAAAAAACTTTAGAAAAAAAGACAATTACGATCGATAAGCTATACGAAGATTTGATATTAATTTGATAGCGTTTTAATAGAATTTTTTTGTTGACGAATATGGGGTTGAGAAGAATATCACATAAAATAAGGAGTTTATATGCAAATATTTCAACCGAACGCGATTGAAGAAAATTTGATGCTGTATTCTATGAGTTTCGTTCTGTTTCATCCATTCTTCACCTAGTGTTTTTGTGAAATACGATCTGAAAGGAGTGTTGAAGTGTTTAGGGGTAGAAATTTGGACCCCCCTCCCCCCACAGACCGTGACAGAGAAAATTCATACCCGTCACAGACCGTGACAGAGAACCTCCGAACCCATCACAGATCGTGACAGAGAACCTCCGAACCCATCACAGATCGTGACAGAGAACCTCCGAACCCATCACAGATCGTGACAGAGAACCCCAGAGACCATCACAGACCGTGACAGAGAACCCGAGAGACCATCACAGATTGTGACAGAGAACCACAGAGACCATCACAGATCGTGACAGAGAACCACTGGAAACCATCACAGACCGTGATAGAGAACCTTCGGACACATCACAGACCGTGGCAGAGAACCTCCGGACCTATCGCAGACCGTGACAGAGAACCTCAGAGACCATCACAGATTGTGACAGAAAACCTCCAGACCCATCACAGACCGTGACAGAGAATCCCAGAGACCATCACAGACCGTGACAGAGAACCTCCAGAGACCATCACAGACCGTGACAGAGAACCACTGGAAACCATCACAGACCGTGATAGACAAGCTCCAGGGGTCATCATAGACTGTGAAAGAAGAGTTCAAGAAAGTATCAGAGATAATGCATAACTAACACATGATTGGAGCATATATGAGGTATTATCCTGTTTCAGCTCTATAATGTAAAGTAAGCCACGATGAAGAAATGTACACCAATATGCATAAAAAAGAACAATTTTTATAAGATTGGCAACAGCAGGTACATCGTGTTTCACATTTTTAATCCCGCAAGGGATTGCGCTAACAGCTTTTCAAAACAAGAGTAGTAAACGTATGAGATAGACAGAAGTTTACTAATCTGTCAGCATTTTTCACAACATCATTTCATCAAAAACCAAAACAAACACGTTACATTTTTTTTCAATTGTTTATCCTTCGGTTAATGCAATAGAAGGTGGCACAACATTCAAGTTTCCTACAGTCAAACTTTTCATATATCATTTCGATCAAAATAAATGATAAACTATACCTAAATTGAGTAGTATGATTAAGGAACAGATTCGCTAAGTTCAGAACTTTCCAATATGAACTCTCAGACGTACAGTAGCATGTAGATATTTATTAAATTTAAAAATAATTCTAATAGATTTTATAGTATTAATGAATTCTAATACAAATAAAATTCATTTTGATATATTTATAGGAAGAAAAAAGCATGTTAAGAAGAGCGAGAGCTTTATTTCCTTGCCAGGCTATTATTTAGGGCGTTTAAGTATCATAAATTTTCATACAAATAGATTCTTGAAGGTTAAATGTCGGAAATCAATTGTTGGTATATCGTAATAGACTTGTAGTATTCTGATCCGTGTGATAAAAACCGGCGGTTAACCGCGGTTTTACCGGTCCGGTTACCGGCTCCCGTCACTAAGATTTACCGCGGTAAACCGCCGGTTTTTATGGATACCGCGGTTTACCGCTAAAATGAACCGGTTTACCGGATCGGCAATAAACTTTGACATTTCATTGCTTTAAATCATCGATTTGGCTATTTTAAACGTTTTTTTTCTTCTATCTTCCCATGCCAGAAAAATGCTCAGAAAAATCTCCGGTTTACCGCTAAAAACTGTCCGGTATCTACGATCTGGGGAAAGCTATTTTTCATTAGTTCCCTTTTATTTTAATATATTTGAACAAAACAACAACTATCAAAATGACACAAAGATTTCTAGCACAGGCACAATCTCGTTTAAAACCAAATCCATATTGTCGTCGAGATCGAGCAATAAATATATTATTATTAGGACAAACAGGAGTCGGAAAATCAACATTCATTAATGCTTTTGCTAACTACATCGTTAATGATAGTCTTAACGATGCAGCCAATGATGAAATGCAGGCTATCGTTCCATGCTCTTTTTCTTACACTATGCATGGCACGTCGGGCGAAGATATCGAAAAAATGATTACTATTGGAGAGCAAGATGAACACGAACAGTTTAGTGATACAGGCCATTCTAATACACAGCAATGCCGAAGTTTCGTTTTTCCGATATGTGATCGAAATTTACGATTCATCGATACACCAGGTGTTGGTGGTACTAGAAGTATGAACAAGATGCTAAAAATTTTCAAGAAATATTAACTTTTATTGCTCAATATGAACATTTGAATGGAGTATTTATCTTGCTCAAGCCAAATGAAGAACGCTTAAATATATTTCTTCGATTTTGTATCAATGAACTTCTTCGACATTTACATATCAGTGCTAAGGACAACATTATTTTTGTTTTTATGAATGCACGATCAACTTTCTTCATGCCAGGTACCACAACGGTGTGAGTGTGGATGTGGGTGTGGGCAGTGTTTCTAACAGCAAGGGTCCACCATGATGACAAAGTATCCAAGATCCGTGTGATATTGATTTGACACTTTATTTTACACTTTGCTCGTGAAAACAAAAAGTCAAGCGGACACTTGCTTAGAATAACATGCACTTTGCTTTTCATAGTTTATAAGCTCGATCCTAACTTCTAAATTTTGTGATTAACGGTAAGGTATTAGATATCCTGACATCTGCCAGTTAACCTTTGGATTTATTGGAACGTTTTTCTGTCTTTTAAATCTTGTTACGCTTACATGTTTGACACAGCTTTTTAGGCGACCTATGTGAATACTTGTCATGAGTTTACTTTAGACACAGTGCCCTCATTCACAAACAGTGTTCTGTGTAGAAAAATATATCTTCCGTGTTTATAATAAACTACTATCCATTTTCATTTTATGTTCCTTCTATCTCGTCTATGAAATATTGGATAAAAGAATTCTTCATTGGATGCCACTAAATATTTAAAGTTGTATATTCTTTATTGGACCTTATATAAGTAAGTGCCAAGAGTGTCTCGATTAGGCGTAACACTTTAACTATACATTTAAAGTTACCCAGGTCGAACATGCACGCTCGTAAACGGTCGTTTACGAAAAAAAACGGAGATATACGGAGATCGTGCACAGCTTCCGTATGCGATGCGCGTATACGGAGCGGTACGATGAGAAACGGACTCCGTATACGGAAATCGTACAAAAATACGGAGGAATTAAAAGATAAGCATCTGGGCTCCGTATACGGAGCTATACGACTGCCGTATACGGTCGTATGTCACCGTGCATGGTCGTATCTGGTCGTATCGGTACCATAACCGTACAATTTAATGAGCAGCACATGTTGTGCAACTCACATATATTTTTCGAAGAAAAATAGTGAGTATAAGTTTAAATGCGAGGTTTTTCGACTTCTCTTCCCTGTCCCATTACAGATCTTAGCATCCGTGGTCAAAGGTTAAAGATCACTAGGGACAAATGCTGCCATAATAACGAACATATAACAAGTATCAGACTCTTTTTACACAAACCCTTAGCGACGGAAAAGGTGTTGAACGGCGTTAACAAACACGGCTTAGACTGTTCTGAAATATTTCAAAGCTTTCCTTGAAATTTAAATGGCTGGGCTACATTTTTGAATGGTGTATATAGTGGAGCGTCTAATTTTTGCTCGGATTTAATGAGTAAATGATGTATATCAAAGATGGATGAAGACTGATGATGTATTGATTTACTACAATCATCGTAGGATCAAGAGTACCTGCCTAATTCGACTTATAATATAAATGGACTGAAAAAACATCAACAGCACTCAACCTCACCAAGAATAATTTTTTTTCTCCATTTATCATTTATTATAAAAGTGATAAATGAAGACTTAACTGTAAGTTTATACAAAAGATTTATATTTTTTTTGCATTATCATTTATTACAAAGGTAATGAATGATGAACACTTTACTGCAGGTTTATACAAAAGGTTTATATTTTTTTTTCTTCATTTATCATTCATTATAAAAGTGATAAGTGAAGAAGACTTTACTACAAATTTATGGAAAAAAAAATTTTTTTTCTCCATTTATCATTGATTATAAGTCTGATAAATAATAAATGAAAAAAAATATAAATATTTTGTATAAAATTACAAAGTTTTCATTTATATACATACATTTCTTCATTTATTATTGATTACAAAAGTGATAAATGATGAAGACTTTACTGTAAATTTATACAAAATATTTACATTTTTTTCTCCATTCAACATTGATTATAAATCTAATAAATGATAAGTAAAAAAAACTATTAGTATTTTGTATCAATTTATAGTAAAGTGTTCATTTATGACTTTCATAATCAATGATAAATGAAGAAATATATATATATAAATACTTTGCATAAACTAACAGAAAAGTCTTCGTCATTTATTAGATTTATAATCAGTAATAAAGGAAAAAAATATAAATACTTTGTATAAATTTACAGTAAAGTGTTTATCATTTATTACTTTTGTAATCAATAATAAATGAAGAAAAAAATATATATAAATGAAGACTACTGTAAGTTTATACAAAATATTTATTTTTTTTTTTGCATTATCATTTATTAGATTTATAATCAATGATAAAGGAAGAAAAAAAAATTTTTTTTTGTATAAATTTACAGTAAAGCCATCGTTGTTTATTACTTTTATAAGAAGCAATATAAGTCAACAGATTTATAGATTATTTTATTACTTATTTTCAAAATGATAAAAAACTTCTGAAAGTGCATTTATATTATAAGTCGAATTAGGCATCTCATGAGAATCAACAAAAAATTTATGAACTGATCAAGTTCTAATTCGAGGGAATTATTAAAATGAGATCATGACATCTCTCAGTAAAATTATCAATGGACTTATATTCTTAATAATATTTAAATAGATCGATAGATAGGTAGGTAGACACGTAGATAAATAACTAGATAGATAGATAGGCAGGTAGATAGTTAGATAGATACGTAGGTAG